CGCGATCCCCGAGCGACTGCCGACATGGTCCCCAAGGATGTATGGGCAAATCTACCACCGGACCCAGAAGTCGCCGAACTAGAAGAGCAGCGCGCACAACTCAAGCAGGGCAACTACCGAATTGATGGCCACCCAGACGAAAAACAGATCCGTAAGCTCACYGAAGACATCCGCAAGAAGAATGCGCAGCGTGAGAAGCGAGCGGTGAAAGAATATCGTGAGYATTATTTTTATAACCGYCCTACCTGGGACGTTGAAAGACATGCTCGGGGGGAAGAAGAAGAAGAGTACGAAGAGCCGGTCGTCAATCTCTCCATTCCCGAACGCGCAAGATTGGCGGACCTTTTCTGCCACCAGCCTGATGACTTAAGCGAAGACCGAATTTTTCAGCTCAAGATTGAAGCCGTCGATCTCATGGTAACTCTTTGCAATAAGAGAGAGACGGTCAAGCGTGATCGCATCCGCCAAAGGACCAATGGCTGCCTGCCCATGAAGACGGAGCCTCTCGAAACAGAACACGAAACGTTCTCCAGCCCTGCCCGATTCCCTTTGCTCATGCATGCAACGCAATGCCCTGATTGTATCGGCGATGAGCGACTCTCTCGGGAAGAACGCACCTTCACATACTGCCGCCCGACTGTCATGAACGACCATTTCGATGACAGTCACCTAATTAGACGCGAGCAGGCTGAGCGGAGCGGTGAGAAGATACGATGCGAGCACCCCAAGTGTCGCGACGTCAAACTGAAACATATCAATCACTTCCGCCGYCACGTRCAAGAAGTTCATGGTGTTACTCTTCGGACGTCCGAGCAAGTCCAGCAGAGGCGACAGCGCAAGGCGAAACGACGACATATGGCCAAGGAAAATTGCCAGAATTAGCTAGAGCGTACATAGTCTCAAAGAGTAGCCTTGCTACCTTTCTTCATCCAGATGAGATGGCTTCTACATGTCGGGGSCGGGGAGGAGGCCCGATGCACGTAGGCGATATTGGAATTTGCTACCCTCGCGAGGGCTCAGTATTGCTGCAGAGTCAATCCCTAGAAATAGACATCATTTGACCACGAGCCATGATTGACTCATYAGACAGCTGTTCAGTGCTCCCCATTGGTCGTTACTGTCGTAGGCGCTCGGATAGTTTCTCGTCTTCCGTGTTCGGTTTACCGTTCTCTGTTTCCTGAAGCGCCCTGTCCACAGGAGCCTTTACCAGAAAGTGCTTGGAGCCTTTACTGGTAATTTCCCTTTTTCTCGATTTACTGGTAAATGCTCATCGTATTTTCTGGTAAAGGTGTTTCCTCCTGACTGGTAAGACCGCGCTCTGTTCCACTACGAGGTTTTATTCGCCAACTAAAATTAGTAACTAGCTCTTGTCACAAGCTTATGCGATCAGCAAGGCTCTACATAACTAAGTTACGTGCCGAGGATAACATACGACTGGTTGGGCTGGCAGTCATCACATAGTTATTGCTTCTGCATGCCGTCGCGCCACGACGAAATCTCGTCAGCTGTTCAGGACTCGAGAATGTCGAAACCAAACCAAGCCTCCGACAATCACTTCTGTGCAAACCAAGCCCACTCATATCAGATCGAAGCCCAACCATCTTTGCGCAGATCTTCAATCCATGAGTTTATTTATATGAATTTCCAGACCGTAAATTGCAAGTCCTCAAATTTTAAACCCACTTCACACCAAATTTCTCTAGTTCCACGAATCTACCAATATACGAACCTGATCATCATACGTGATTGTTCGACTTGGATTGACATACTACCCTATTCTACCTGCTTCGAGAACATACAATGAAAGACACATTAACGAAAGAAGCCATCGATCAAATGCAACTAGTCCAAAAGACTGACTCCGAAATCTCCTTCACAACGAATCGCCAACTCGCGCATCACGTCCACAACGAAGGAGGGCACTTCAGCAATAAGCTCGTACCAACCTCCCAACAGACAAACCTCTTCAGACACGCAAGCAGCGAATTGCGCTAGAATAAGACGAAGATCATCCCCCTCRACGGTGCAACCGTTGTAGACAAAACGAACAAGATCCCCAAAAATGGGCATCAACGTATGCTCAGACATGACCCAATGCACCAGTTGCCAGGCAAGATTACAACGGGCCAACTTCATCAAGGAAGTGACGGCAAATTCTTTAGCAAAGCTCCAAACCCTCGCATGTCCAATCARTACATTCTTGAAATTCTCAGTTTGTGGATCGAACCTGGGAACTTGGGTGTTTTGGTCGAATCGGAACATGGGGAGATGGCTCTGAAAGAAGTTCGAGAAGAGCCGTTTTTTGTTTTCACATTGCCCAGATTTGTGCAGTTCGCAACTACACATGCCGGAGGGCTGTTTGCGCTTGACAGGAACCCGAGCCTTTGATGCAGTTTGATTGCTATAAATACATCCAGAACCATTCTCTGTAGCAGTTACGGAGGATGCGAAGGAAAACAGAAATCTGGCTGGGGTTTGCTCCAATATAAGGCTTGCAGTACCCAAAGACTCTCCGAATAAATCGAGGGGTACATCCTCCTTGTGCGGTTTCAGGGGCGACCCGAACGATAAGGATTTTGGACCATCGTTCGGGGCAAAATCGAACAAATGTTGTGACTTGCGAGCGTCTGAGCTTGTGGGAGAGAAGTTCGGAGTGTTCGGGAGCATTGTGTTGCCAGGTTTCCCCTCGACCCTGTTTGTGGTATCGATTCTGTCAGACGTTCCCAATTCATCTTGCTCATTGATATCGAAGTCCACATAAATCCCTGAATACACAAATTGAGCGAAACGTGAAAACACGTCTTTGTCAACATGTTCCAGGCGGRCGTAGCGCTCGYYACCCTCAGCTATATCGCGGAATTGGACAGACAAGGTAGAAAKCAAGCTTGAGTGCAAGCTAAACTCAATTTCTTTGCTCCCGACCACGAATGTCGTCAAGCTTGAAGTCACATGTCTAGCATTGCCAAGTTAGGAAAAACGTGTATGAATCAAAGACTAGG